GATGGGTTTTAAATACCTCCTATTTGCTATCCTCCAGAAAACATGTTCTCGTGTACAACCACCTTTGATGACTTTAAACAGGAAGATCTTGCCAGGCATGGTGTGGCTCACACCTGTAATCCCAGTACTTTGGGAGGCCAAGGTGGTCTGATCACTTGAGGTCAGGAGTTCGAGACCAGCCTGGACAACATGGTGAAACCCCGTCTCTACTAAAAATACAAAAATTAGCTGGGCATGGTGGTGTGCACCTGTAGTCCCAGCTACTTGGGAGGCTGAGGTGGGAGGATTACTTGAAGCCAGGAGTTGAAGGCTGCAGTGAGTCATGATCGTGCCACTGCACTCCAGCCTGAGCAACAGAGTGTCAAAAAAAAGAAAAAAAAAAGAAAAAAAACAGTTCCAAGAGGCCCCACTTTGTATTCTGACACCTTCAGCAAATTCTGAAATTGGCCAGAGACAGAGTAGAATTCTAGTTTCCACGCCCATTGACTAAGTTTTCAGGAACTTCCCTTTTCTGGAGTCCTTTTCCAAGCTGAACCTGCCATGGTGTGGTCCTGCCGCTGGTCTGTGGGCTCTGGGCAGGGAGGTGTGTGCTGGGGAGAGGCACCTGCCCAATCTGGCTTCCTCAGGGCCTGGCCTCTGTCCTGACCTCACCCCTTGCCCTGTGTGCAAACGCTTCTTCTCCTTCGGTGACCCTGCTCATGGCATTCTCAGCCAGTCTATGATACCGGCTTGTCCTGGGCTCAGACAGGGGGCTCAGACAGTGAGCAGAGAAGCTCCCCAGCCTGCAGGCCTGACCCCTCTGTGCTCACCCGCGCCTCTCATCCCCAACTCGTCTCTCCAGTGCAGATCAGCCTGCCCGGCACCATGCGCATAACAGATGCCAATGGCACCGTGTACATAGCTCAGCAGATGCACTTTCACTGGGGTGGTGCGTCCTCGGACATCAGCGGCTCTGAGCACACCGTGGACGGGATCAGACATGTGATCGAGGTACGTGAGGACCCCCACTGTGTCCTCTTTCCTTCGAACCCCGTAGTCACTTATTTATTGACAGATTCTCTTCTCACTCTGTCACCCAGGCTGGAGTGCAGTGGCTCACTCCAGCGTCTGCCTCCTGGGTTCAAGTGATTCTCCTGCCTCAGCCTCCCAAGTAACTGGGATTACAGGCACATGCCAGCATGCCTGATAAGTTTTGTATTTTTACAAAACATTGGCTGGACGGGGTTTCACCATGTTGGCCAGGCTAATCTCGAATTCCTGACCTCAGGTGATCCACCCGCCTCGGCCTCCTAAAGTACGGGGATTATAGGTGTGAGTCACAGTGCCTGGCTGTCACTTTTCTTATTAAAACAGCCAAGGCCGGGTGAGCTGGCTCACGCCTATAATTCCGGCACTTCGGGAAGTCAAGGCAGGGGAATTGCTCGAGTCCTAGAGTTCGCAACATAGCAAGATCCTGTGTCTACAGAAAAAATAATAATAATAAATTATCCTGGAGTGATGGCACATGCGTATGGTTCCAGCTTCTGAGGAGGCTGAGGGGGGAGGATCGCTTGAGGCCAGGAGGTTGAGGCTGCAGTGAGTCCTGATTATGCTCCCGCACTCCAACCTGAGGGACAAAACAAACAGAAACAGCCAAAAGACTGTGCGATGGTAGCAGTTAAGTCATCCTGAAGTTTTATTTTTTATTCACTCGGCAGCTATTGACTGGTCACCACTCTGTGACCAGGGTACAGGCAAGCTCCTGCCCTCGCAGAACTGAGGCTGCAGGACAACAGCCCACAGGGTGTGGCGAACTCTCCTTTGTTTCAGCTGGATTTCTATGTGTTAGATTTTCTTTCCTTTTCTTTTTCTGAGATGTCGTTTCACTCTTTCGCCCAGGCTGGAGTGCAGTGGCGTGATCTCGGCTCGCTGCAACCTCTGTCCCCTGGGTTCAAGTGATTCTCCGGCCTCAGCCACCAGAGAAGCTGGGATTACGGGCACCTGCCACCACGCCCAGTTAATCGTTTAGTAGAGCTGGGGTTTCACCACGTTGGCCAGGCTGGTCTCAGTCTCAAACTCCTGACCTCAAGTGATCCGCCCACCTCGGCCTCCCAAAGTGCTGGGTTACAGGCATCAGCCACTGCACCTGGCCTGTGTTAGATTTTCTGAGTTCCCTCTTTTGCCAGAATTCATCTTTAAGATGACATATAATTTAACAGTGGCTGTCTGGGACAAGGGGGTACAAGCTCGCCCTCCCGCAAACCCCCAGACACTTCAGGAGAACCCCAGCTCTGCCAACTCGTCTGCCTGGAGGGAGGTGTGGTCAGGGAAACACCCTGGAACTGCCGTCTTCCAGAATCCCACTCTTGTTCTTCCCATTCTTGGGGAAGTTTCTAGTCATGATAGATGGGGTTTGCAGTCCAGAGGGAGGGAGATGGAGGTCCAAGTTGCTGGTGTAGAATGGTCTGAGGCCTCAGATGGAGCCCCTTTCTTTCTCCTCCTTCTTCCCTGGAAACCTTAAGCATTTGAATTGCTGTGAACTGCCCTTGACCCACCCTACCTTGCTCTTACAGATTCACGTTGTTCACTACAATTCCAAATACCAGAGCTATGAGGCAGCCCAGGAGGCGCAGGACGGCTTGGCTGTATTGGCAGCCTTCGTTGAGGTAAGCAGAAACCACCCACGTGTGTCTGCATCTGAAGTTATGGGTAGATGTCCAAACAAGGTGTGAAGTCTGGTTGAACAGTCTTCTTTATGATCACTCTTCATCCTCTCCCGAGCTCACAGCTCTTGGAGACATTGACTGGATGAAGATCGACCCTCTTCTTCCAGCTCCTGCTCATGGTCACTATGCTCCTTCTGTGTCATTAATCTCCAGACCTTGGTTAACTTGGGCAAGCTGATTTAAAAGAGCTGGAATCACAGAGGGGTCGACTAGACACAGATGGTCTGAAGGGCAAAGGGAAACCTGCAACCCACTCAGACAAAGGCAACACATCTGCATTTCTATTTTTTTTGAGATGGAATTTCACTCTTGTTGCCCAGATTGGAGTGCAATGGTGCAGCCTTGGCTCACTGCAACCTCCGCCTTCCGGGTTCAAATGATTCTCCTGCCTCAGCCTCCCGAGTAGCTGGGATTATACACACCTGCCACCACACCCGGCTAATTTTTTATTTTTAGTAGAGACAGGGTTTCACTATGTTGGCCAGGCTGGTTGAGAACTCCTGACTTCAGGTGATCCACCCACCTCAGCCTCCCAAAGTGCTGGGATTACAGGCCTGAGCCACCGCGCCCGGCTAACACCTCTGCATTTCTGGTCAGGAGTTCGAGACTAGCCTGACCCACATGACAAAACTCCATCTCTTCTAAAAATACAAAAATTAGCTGGGCATGGTGGCAGGAGCCTATAATTCCAGCTACTTGGGAGGCTGAGGCAGAAGAATCACTTGAACCTGGGAGGTGGAGGCTACAGTGAGCTGAGATCCTGCATGCCAGCATGGGCAATAAAGCTGGACTCCATCTCAAAAAAAAAAAAAAAAAAAAGGCCAGGCGTGGTGGTTCATGCCTGTAATCCCAGCACTTTGGGAGGCCGAGGTGGGCAAATCACCTTAGGTCAGGAGTTCGAGACCAGCCTGATCAACATGGAGAACCCTGTCTCTACTAAAAATACAAAACTAGTAGAGAGTAGCGGCACACATGCCTGTAATGCCAGCTACTTGGGAGGCTGAGGCAGGAGAATAGCTTGAACCCAGGAGATGGGGGTTGCAGTGAGCTGAGATTGTGCCATTGCAGTCTAGCCTGGGCAACAAGAGTGAAGCACTGTCTCAAAAAAAAAAAAAAAAAAAAAGTCTAGAAGGTGGGACTTCAGGCTAAGTGACTGGAATAGGCAGGAATCCAATCCCCCCAAAACAAGTATTAAATTAGATAAAATTATAAAAAACCCCACCATTTCAATGCTCTGGAAATGGTTCCCAGGCAACCAGCAAATTGAGACATTTATTCATGAAAAATGGCTAGAATTGGGTAAGAGTAATGAATGTCTGTAGATGTCTTTCCTGGGGATGTTCCCATCCGTACCCCCTAACTTGGTCAGCAAGTTAATTTTATCAGGCAAAGCTGCCTGGGCAGGGGAGCTGACTTGATTTGGGGTGGAAGTTGAAAACCATGCTCAGGAATAATGTCTGTAAAAGTGGTAAGCTTGACAGAAAACACAGAAAGCAAACAGGAAAAACTTGCAGCTCTGAGAGTCTGAGGTTACAGTCCCAGTTACAGTGAATAATGAGTGAGAAACAAGTCAGAAATTTAAGGGAGAAGATCCTGGAAAGGAGAGAGAGACAGAAGGGCTACATAAACACCCTAACAGAGTCTGATAAAAAGTCAAAGCTGAAGCCAACATGAGAACTAGCTGAACTTTGAATGTGCTTCGAAACCTACACACAGATCCATCAGGAGGAGTCCTAGGGGCTCAAGGGGTTTGAGCACAACTTCTGCTCAAATCATTTTACTGACCACAAAGCTATGTTGACTGTAGGTAGCTCCTAGGAATTCAGCCCCCAAGAATACAAATAAAATTTAAAAGCTGAGCACAGACATCGTGCTTGGGAGACAGAGCCTGCAGACTAAGTCCAGACAAGTCACTAAATAAACACACACGTGGAATGCTGGAGGACAATTACAAAAATCAGAATCAGGACTTGCTGCCATATATTATCTAAAACATCCAGTTGGCAGCAATAAAAGTTGGGCAGGCAGGCTGGGCACGGTGGCTCACACCTTAGTCCCAGCACTTTGGGAGGCTGAAGCAGGTGGTCGCCTGAGGTCAAGAGTCTGAGACCAGATTGGCCAGCATGGTGAAACCCCATATACACTAAAAATATAAACAATTAGCCATGCACGTGCCTATAGTCCCAGCTACTTGGGAGGCTGAAGCAGGAGAATCACTTGAACCCAGGAGGCAGAGGCTGTAGTGAGCCAGCATAACGCCACTACACTCCAGCCTGGGTGACAGAGTGAGACTTCATCAAAAAAAAAAAAAAAAAAGTTGAGCATGCAAAGAAATAGAAAAATGTAATCCATACTTAATGAGGGGAAAAAGGCCCTGAAAACAATCAGTAGAATCTGACCTGAGTGGATACAGAATGATTAGGAGACAGGACTTTAAAATAACTGTCATTGCTGTGGCTAGGAGAAAAATAAAATAAAAATAAAACAACTATCATAAATGTTTGAAGAGTGAAAAGAAGCTATGTTCAAAGAATTCAATGAAAATATGATGACAATGACTCTAAAAAGGGAATTTCAGTAGAGAAAAAGAAACTTTGAAGAGGCACAAAATGGAAAGCCTAGAGTTGAAAAGTACAATAAACAAAGTGAAAAAATCACTAGATGAGCCCAAAGCAGATGTGAGGCAGCAGAAGAAAAAAAGAATCAATGCATTTGAAGATAGAGCAATGAAAGTATCCAATCTGAAAAACAGAGAAAAAAGAAGAAAAATGAACAGAGACCAGAGATCTAGCAACCTGAAGCAGCATGGCCAAGCCTTGTGGGGAGTGCCTGAGCAGGAGGCCCACAAACAGGTGGAAGTCTTCAGGCAGAATCTTTTCCAGGAGGCTGAGGAATTCCTCTACAGATTCTTGCCACAGAATATCATATACCTGAATCAGCTCTTCAAGAAGACTCCCTCAGTGTGGCTGACCTGACTTCCCTCCAGGCCCCACTGGACATCCCCATCCCAGATCCTCCACCCAAGGATGACGAGATGGAAACAGATAAGCAGGAGAAGAAAGAAGTCCCTACATGTAGATTTTTCCCTGGGAATGAGAAGGTCCTGTCCCTGCTTGCCCTGGTTAAGCCAGAGGTCTGGAATCTCAAAGAGAAATGCATTCTGGTGATCACATGGATCCAGCGCCTGGTCCCCAAGATTGAAGATAGAAATGATTTTGGGGTAGCAATCCAGGAGAAGGTGCTAGAGAGGGTGAATGCTGTCAAGACCAAAGTGGAAGCTTTCCAGACAACCATTTCCAAGTACTTCTCAGAAGGTGGGGATGCTGTGGCCAAGGCCTCCAGGAGACTCCTGTGATGGATTACCAGGCCTTGGTGCACGCGCGCGATGAGGCAGCATATGGGGAGCTCAGGGCCGTGGTGCTGGACCTGAGGGCCTTCTATGCTGAGCTTTATCATATCATCAGCAGCAACCTGGAGGAAACTGTCAACCCAAAGGGTGAAGAGAAGCCATCTATGTACTGAACCCAGGGCTAGAAGGAAAATAAATGACCTAAATGAAAAAAATGAACAGCCTTATAGATTCACGGGGACAAAATCAAGCATAGCAACATACATATAATGGGAGTCCCAGAAGGAGAGGAGACAAAGTGGAAAGAACAAAACAATGGCCAAAAGCCTCAGATATGAGGAAAAACGTAAATGATCAATCCAAGAAACTAAAGAAAACCCCAAGTCTGATAAATAAACCCCAAGACTAGATACATCAAAAATCAAACTGCTGAAAGCAGCAAGAGAAGAGGGATTTATTATATGTAGGGCAATGACAGTATAATTAATGGCTGACTTTTCAAGTCATCAGAACACAGTGGAATGACTGTCAATCAAGAACCCTATATCCAATAAACCTTCAAAATTGAAGGTGAAACCAAGATAGTCCCAGATATACAAGAATCAGTGTAATTGCTAGCAGATCTATCTCACAAGACATATAAAAGAACATTCTTCTGGCTAAAAGAAAATGATACCAGACAGTAACTCAGATCCACAGAAAGGAGCGAAGTGTACTGGAAATGGAAAATGGAAAAGACTACATACATTTTTTATGTGTGTGTTTTCTTCTTTTAATTTCTTTTTAAAAACTCTTAAGATTATTTAAGGCAATGACTATACCACTGTATATACCACTGGCTTCCAATATATGTAGATTTAATGCACATGACAAAAATAGGAGAAAGGATGAGGAAGAAACGGAGCTTTTTTGAAGCAAAGTTGCTTTTACTGAAATTAAAAATACTAACCTGACCAAGATTGTGATTGAATTGTATACGGCAATCACTCGAGCAACTACGAAGAAAATAATTGAAATGATTAAATGGTACATAAGAAGTATTTGCTTCACACAAAAGAAGGCAGCAAAGGTGGACCAATGGAACAAAAATGGCACGAGACATCCAGAAAACAAATAGCAAACACAGTCATAAAGCCAAGAAAGCCAAATTTATACACGGTGAAAGAGACTTGAATCAGCACCGCTTGACTGAAAATAGCCATTCAAAATAGGCCTTTTTCACCCAAAGCAACTTTTCTGACTTTTAAAGTCAATACTCACACAGAAAAGATTGATCTAGTGTTAAGGGAACTGCAGTTGTTTTACCCCGGACTTCCAGCTCACTGTTGGAATTCCTGAGGATGAAGAAGGGAGCTCATGAGATGAAGCCCTCCTCATCACAAAGAATCTGACTGTGGTTGACACTGCCCAAAACAAGCACACAGGCCGGGCGCGGTGGCTCACGCCTGTAATCCCAGCACTTTGGGAGGCCGAGGTCGGTGGATCACGAGGTCAGGAGTTCGAGACCAGCCTGGCCAACATAGTGAAACCCCATTTCTATTAAAAACACAAAAAAATTACCTGGGCATGGTGGTAGCTGCCCGTAATCCCACCTACTCAGGAGGCTGAGGCAGGAGAATCGCTTGAACCTAGGAGGCAGAGGTTGCAGTAAGCCAAGATCGTGCCGTTGCACTCCAATTGGGGCAACAGAAAAAGACTCTGTCAAAAAAAAAAAAAAAAAAGAAAAAAGAAAAACAACAACAAAGAAAACAAGCACACAGGACATTTTTTTAGAGTAACTATTGGCCATTTCTGAGGGCATCACCAATGACCGAGAAGCTTCTTTCCCTGGAAGCTGCCAAAATAGTTTAGATAGTGCCTTTCTGGAAAGACGCATGAACCTGTGCAGTTGGTAGCAAAGAACACTCAGATTGTCTCCGTCAAAACACAGCAGGGGCACAGGCTGCCTCCCCTTACTGTCTAGGCTCTGCCCAATCAGCTAGAAGGATTGGTAGAGATGGTGGGCTGGGGCCTCTTCTTCACTCATGCTCAGTGCCCTGTGTTTTTGCAGGTGAAGGATTACCCTGAAAACACTTACTACAGCAACTTCATTTCTCATCTGGCCAACATCAAGTACCCAGGTAAGGGAAGCCAACTGCGGCTGCAGGAGGGACGGGAGTGAGCTCAAGTGTGAGTGTGGGGTGGGCCCAGGGGGCAGGGGACTGGTGCTGGTGGGGAGGGTAGCCAGTGGGCCTGCCAAGGAGTCTGCCCCTCCCTGTGCAAGGTCACTTGTTCCCGGGATTTCTGCTGTTGGCTTAGGCAGCAAACTTCTCTGAGAAACCTGCTCATAAATTCTATGTGTCAATTCTCATGACTAGAACTTCTGGTGGGAGTTCCACTAAGTAGGGATAGCCTCACTTCGTTGACTGTCATCCCAGCTGGCAGTGACAGTCCTGGCTGCTAGAGAGATGTTCACCCTGGTTCCAAGCCAAGATGAATGTCAAGAGCAAAGCCACTCGTCATCCCACTTGGACAGACAGACACTCGGGTTGTTCTTCCACCCGCTCTGCCTCCAGAAGGCAGCATTCTTATGAGAGCAATCTCCTGCCCAGGGTCAATGCTGGACCTTGAGCTATGACCACATCGGCTCTGCATCCTCGACCTCACACATCCCATTCTGACCCCACCTCCCAGCCTCCCAGTCGTCTGACTTCAGCACCCAGCTCCTCCTGCAACTCACCTGACCCGGGTCCTCCAACCCTGGGGCTTCTGCAGTCTCGCTCCTGGTGACACCTGTTCCTTTCATCTCTCTCCCAGCTCAGATTCCAACACTCTCAAGGGCCGCTCGGCACTCCCATGCAAACACCCTCTCTATCTTCACCCCTCCACGCCTCCATAAACTCACCTGGCAAAGCCCAGACCAGCTCAGAGCTGGCAGCCAAAGAGCTGAATGCCCCGGGACAGACATCCATAGACAACTAGGCTGGTATGATTATAATTATTATTCCCCTCCCCTCCCCTTTCCTTCCTGATGGAATCTCGCTCTGGAACCCAGGCTGGAGTGCAGTGGCTCAATCTCGGCTCACCGCAACCTCCACCTCTTCGGTTCAAGCGATTCTCCTGCCTCAGCCTCCCGAGTAACTGGGATTACAGGTGCCTGCCACCACACCCAGCTAATTTTTGTGTTTTTAGTAGAGACTGGGTTTCACCATGTTGGTTGGTCTCGAACTCCTGACCTCGTGATCCACCTGCCTCAGCCTCCCAAAGTGCTGGGATGGCAGGTGTGAGGCACTGCGCCAGGCCGGATTCTGCATTTATAACTGCTGCCCACCCACTGCTCAATAAGCCCAAACCAAGGCATTTTGGTCTTTCTTTGAGGGCACTTACCCAGACGCCTCCAGAGGCTATATTTCTGTCTTTCACTGATCATAAAATGTATCCTCTGCCTAGCCATGCTAATGGTGACCACGGCAGTTACACTTCGGAGTACTTCCCTATGTACCAGTTCAATGCCAGCTGCTTTCCAGTGTTATTCCCCCTTCCCTCATAGCAATTCTGCTGATTATTCCCTTTTTACAGATGAGGAAATGGCCGCGGAGTGAGCACCCGGCCAAGACCACTCAGCCAGGAGGAGGTGGCTGAGTGCATCTTTCCCAAAGCCTGTCCTCTCAATCCCTTCCAGGGAGAAATACACTGGGAAATTGTTTCCTGATCATCAGCTTCTATGTTCTGCTGAACTCAAGAGATTGAATCAGGCGAGGCCTGGGCCTGAGCTGTCCTCCCGAGGGGCAGCGGTGGTCCCTGACATTCTATCACCTTCTGTCTTTTTGGTTAGGACAAAGCACAACTCTGACTGGCCTTGACGTTCAGGACATGCTGCCCAAGAACCTCCAGCACTACTACAGCTACCAGGGCTCGCTCACCACTCCTCCCTGCACCGAGAACGTCCACTGGTTTGTGCTGGCAGATTTCGTCAAGCTCTCCATGACGCAGGTAGTGTATGGTGTCGCTTTGCCAAAGTCTTGCTCTTTGACTGCCTAGTTAACAAGACTGTTCCTAGAATCTCAGCTAATGTCAACAACGAGGGATCCTATGGCATTTTCTGCATGCAGGGCCACTGTGCCTCACCTACCCAACCATCTTTTCTCTTTTTTTTTTTGAGACAGAATCTCGCTCTGTCATCAAGCTGGCGCACAGTGGTGCAATCTCAGTTCACTGCAACCTCTGCCTCCCGGGTTCAAGCAATTCTCCTGCCTCAGCCTCCCGAGCTGGGATTACAGGCATGTAGTAGGGACGGAGTTTCACTGTGTTTCCCAGGCAGGTCTCGAACTCCTAGGTTCAAGCAATCTGCCTGTGTCAGCCTCCCAAAGTGCTGGGATTACAGGTGGAAGCCACTGCGCATGGCCATCTCCTTTTCTTAATTTTCTTAGAAAAAGGTGGAAAAGACCCCTGCTCAAGGACACCCACACCCCAAAATGTTCCCAATCAGGCTGGAAGTGTCCCCAGGCACCTGACAAAGCAAATGGTCAATTATCTCCAGAAAAATGAACTTAAATCCAGACCTAGAAGAATTTTCACAAAGTTACCTGAAATTAGCTCAATTAAGGAAAAAACCCCACAAAACATATGAGAAAAAAAGACATTATAAATGAGAACCAGCAGATTCAGACCTACAAAGATTTCAGTTAGTGGAATTATCAATTAATATGACATAAGAATATTTGGTATGTATAAAAAAATAAGAGGTTTAATTATGAGAAATGAATGAAAAAATATTAAAATGGGCAGCCAGACTTGGGAAAAAACCCAAACAGAATTTCTAGAAATGGAAAAATAGTATCAAGAATTAACAATCCATGCCTATCACAGTGTATCACACCTATAACCCCAGCACTTTGGGAGGCCAGGAGTTCAAGATCAGCCTGGCCAAGATGGTGGAACCCCTTCTCTACTAAAAGTACAAAAAATTAGCTAGGTGTGGTGGTGTGTGCCTGTAATCCCAGCTACTTGGGTGGCTAAGGTGGAAGAATTGCTTGAACCCGGGAGGTAGAGGTTGCAGTGAGCTGAGATTGCACCACTGCACTCCAGCCTGAGTCACAGAACAAAACTCTGTCAAAAAAAAAAAAAAAAAAAATTGTCTAGGAATGGTGGCTCATGCCTGTAATCCCAGCACTTTGGGAGGCTGAGGCGGGCAGATAATGATGTTAAAGGTTCAAAACCACCCTAGCC